TTGTTCCTGATCCTAAAGGAAAAGCTTTCAGCTTTTCACCATGGAGTATGATGTTAGCTATGGACTTGTCATATATGGTCTTTATTATGTCAAGGTATGTTCCCTCTATATCCACTTTGTTGAGAGTTTTTATCATGAATGGATGTTGAATTTTGTCAAGTGCTTTTTCTGCATCTACTGAGACAATCACATGATTTTTATCTTTCATTATGTTAATATGGTGTATCACCCTGATTGATTTGTGGATTTGAACCATCCTTGCAACCCTAGAATAAATTCCACTTGATCCTGGTGTGTGGTCCTTTTAATGTATTGTTGGATTCAATTTGCTAATACTTTGCTGAAACTTTCTGCATCTACATTCATCAAGGAGAGTAGCCTGTAATTTTCTTTTCTTGTAGTGTCCTTGTCTGGTTTTGATATCAGGATAATGCGGCCTTGTAGTAAGTTTGGAAGTGTTCCCTCCTCTTCTATTTTTTGGAAGTTTGAGAAGGATCAGTGTTAATTCCTCTTTAAACGTTTGGTAGAATTCCCAGTGAAGCTGTCTGCTCCTCAACTGTTGTTGGGAGGTTTTTGATTACTAATTCAATCTCCCTACTTGCAATTGGTCTGTTCAGATTTTCTATTTCTCCATAATCCAGTCTTGATAGGTTGTATGTTTCTAGAAATTTATCCATTTTTCTTAGGTTGTCCAATTTGTTGGCATATAATTGTAAATGGTAGTCTCTTATAAACCTTTGTGTTTCTGTGGTGTCAGTTGTAATGAGTCCTCTTTCACTTATAATATTATTTATTTGAGTTCTTTTTTTCTTGGTTAATCTAGCGAAGGATTTTCAATTTTGTTTTATCTTTTCAAAAACCAATTCTTAGTTTTGCTGATCATTTCTATTTTTTCCCTATTCTTTATTTCTGCTATAATCGTTATTTCCTTCCTTCTATTAATTTTGAGCTTAGTTTGCTTTTCTTTTTCCAGTTCCTTCAGGTGGAAGGTTCGGTTGTTTATTTGAGATCTTTTCTCTTTATAGCTATAAACTTTCCTCTTAGAAATGCTTTTGCCATATCCCATAACATCACAAGATTTTTTTTAAATTTCCCTTTTGATTTCTTCTTTGGTCCACTGGTTGTTCAGGAGTGTGTTGTTTAAATTCCATGTATTTGTGAATTTTCCAAGTTTCCTCCTGTTATTGATTTCTAGTTTCATACTATTGTGTTTGGAAAAGATGCTTGATATAATTTCAATCTTCTTGATTTGTTAAGATTTGTTTTGTGGCCTAACATATGATCTATCCTGGAGAATGTTCTGTTTGTTCTTGAAGAGAATGTGTTTTCTGCTGCTGTTGGATAAAATGTTCTGTATATGTGTGTATAGATCCATTTGGTCTATAGTGTTATGCAAAAGTGCTGTTTCCTTATTGATTTTCTTTCTGTATGATCTATCCATTGTTGAGAGGGGGGTATTAAAGTCTCCTAATTTTACTGTACTGTTTATTTCTCCCCTCAGTTCTATTAATATCTGCTTTATATTTAGATGCTCCAATGTTGGATATTTACAATCATTATATCATCTTCATGAATTGATCCTTTTATTGCATATACTGACTTCTTTGTCTATTGTGACCCTTCTTTTTTAACTTCGTTTATTTTTTCTGATACAAGGATAGGTATCCCTGCTCTCTTTTTGTGAACATTTGCATGGAATATCTTTTTCCATCCCTCCACTTCCAGCCTATGTGTGTCCTTAAAGTTAAAGTGAGTCTCTTACAGGCATCATTTCCCTTTTAAGACAGTGTGGTATTGGCAGAAGAATAGACAAATAGGTCAACGGCACAGAACAGAGAGCTCAGAAATAGACTCTCACAAATACACTTAACTGATCTTTGACAAAGGAGCAAAGGCAATATAATGAGGCAAAGATAGTCTTTTCAACAAATGGTATAGGAAAAACTGAATATCTGTGTGAAAAAAAAAGGAATACAGACACAGACCTTATACCCCTTACAAAAGTTAACTCAAAATGTATCATAAAGCTAAATGTAAAAGACAAAACTACAAAATTCCTAGAAGATAACACAAAAGAAAATATAGGTGACTTTGGGTACAGCAATGACTTTTTAGATATAATATCAAAGGCATGATCTATGAAAAAAATAATTATAAGCTGAATTTCATTAAAATTAAAAACATCTCCTCTCCAAAAGACAATGTCATGAGAATGAGAATTCAAGCCACAGACTAGGAGGAATTATTTGCAAAAGACACATCTGATAAAGTACTATTATCCAAAATATACAAAGAACCCATAAAACTCAAGAATAAGAAAATAGCCCAATTAAAAAATGAGCCCAGGGCTTCCCTGGTGGCGCAGTGCTTGAGAGTCCGCCTGCCGATGCAGGAGACGCGGGTTCGTGCCCCGTTTCGGGAAGATCCCACATGCCGCGGAGCGGCTGGGCCTGTGAGCCATGGCCGCTGAGCCTGCGCGTCCGGAGCCTGTGCTCCGCAAATGGGAGAGGCCACAACAGTGAGAGGCCCGCATAACGCAAGGAAAAAAAAGAAAAAAAAAAAAAAAAATGAGCCCAAGACCTGAACAGACATTTCACCAAAGATGATATACAGATGGCTAGTAAGCATATGAAAAGATGCTCATCATATGTCATCAGGGAAATGCAATTTAAAACAACGAGATAACACACACTCCTATTACAATGGCCAAAATCCAAAATGCCGACAGAATCAAATGCTGACAAGGATGTGGAGCAACAGGAACTCTCATTCATTGCTGATGGATTGCAAAGTGGTACAGTCATTATGGAAGAAAGTTTGATAGTTTCTTAGAAAAGTGAACATCCTCTTACCATACAATCCAGCAAATGTCCTCCTCAATATTTACCCAAAGGAGTTAAAAATTTATGCCCACACAAAACCTGCACATGGATGCTTATATTAGCTTTATTTGTAACTGCCAAATCTTGGAAGAAACCAAGACATCCTTCAGTAGGTGCATGGATAACTAAACTGTAGTATATCCAGATTTTAGAATATTATTCAGCACTAAAAAGAAATGAATTATCAAGACATGAAAAGGAATTTGAGCAATCTTAAATGCATAATACTAAGGGGGAAAAGTCAATCTGAACAGGCTACATACCGTATGATTCCAGCTATATGATATTCTGAAAATACTGGGTTGGCCAAAAAGTGCCTTTGGTTTTTAAGTAAAACTAAAAGATACATTTTTTCATTTTCACCAAGAAGTTTATTGAACAATGTATTCACCCTTTTGTTCCACTACCTTCTGCCATTTTTCAGGCAACTTCATAATTCCATCTTCCCAAAACTTTTTACCTTTTTGAGCAAAGAACTGTTCCAGGTGCCTTTTACAGCTTCCAGGGAATTGAAATTTTTTCCATTAAGAGAATTTTATGAAGACCAAAATAAATGGAAATCCGAAGGTGCAGTGTCTGGTGAATGTGGCAGGTGAATCAGAAGTTCCCAGCCAAGCTGTAATAGTTTTTGCCTAGTCATCAAAGAAACTTGAGGTCTTGCATTATCCTGATGGAAGATTATGCATTTTCTGTTGACTAATTCTGGATGCTTTTCATCGAGTGCTGCTTTCAGTTGGTCTAACTGGGAGCAGTACTTGTTGGAATTAATCGTTTGGTTTTCCAGAAGGAGCTCGTAATAGAGGACTCCTTTCCAATCCCACCACATATACAACATTACCTTCTTTGGATGAAGACTGGCCTTTGGTGTGGTTGGTGGTGGTTCATTTCGCTTGCCCCACGATCTCTTCCATTCCACATTAGTGTACAGTATCCACTTTTCATCACCCCTCACAGTTTGTTTTCAAAACGGAACGTTTTCATTACGTTTAAGTAGAGACTCGTATGCGGAAATACAGTCAAGAAGGTTTTCTTCGCTTAACTTATGTGGAACCCAAACGTCAAAGCGATTAACATAACCAAGCTGGTGCAAATGATTTTCAGCTCTTGATTTGGATATTTTGAGTATGTCGGCTATCTCCCGTGTGGTATAATGTTGATTATTCTCAATTAATGTCTCGATTTGATCACTATCAACTTCAACTGGTCTACCTGACCGTGGAGCAACATCCAGCGAGAAATCTCTAGCACAAAACTTTGCAGACCACTTTTGACATGTTCGATCAGTCACAGAACCTTCTCTATATACTGCACAAATTTTTTTTTGCATTTCGGTTTAACCTTTCTTGAAATAATAAAGCATAATATGCCAAAAATGTTGGTTTTTTCCTTCCATCTTCAATATTAAAATGGCTACACAAAAATTCACCAATTTTGATGTCTTTTTTAAAATGCACACTGATATGACAGCTGTCACATACAATCTAACAAACTTATTTTGAATGAAGTTAAAGACAACTAAGTGCTACTAGAGCCATCTTACAGAAAAACCAAACGAACATTTTGGCCAACCCAATAGCAAAACAATGAAGCCAGTAACAAGATCAGTGGTTGCCATAGGCTGGGGGAAGGGAGAGATGAACACACAGAGCACAGAACATTTTTAGGGCAATAAAACTATTCTGTATGATACTACATTTGTAGATACATGTCATTATACATTTGTCAAAACCTATCATAATGTACAACACTGAGAGTGAAGCCTAATGTAAAATATAGATTATGATATGTCAACGTAGGTTTATGAGTTGTAACAAATGTATCACTGTGGTACAGTATATTGACAGTGGAGGAAGCAGTCCATGTGTAGGGGCAGGGAGTAAATGGGAACTTTCTGTACTTTCTGCTTAATTTTGCTATGAACCTAAAACTATTCCCAAAATAAGTCTATTAAAAAAACATAGCTCTTAACCATCTTTTAATACTACGACCCAGATCAAAAATAGTTATTTCCACTATGGATAAGAAGGTAAAACCACTGCTTGATTATTTCTAAAACCTAGCTTCCAAAATCATCTTAACTGGTAATTTAAGGCTCACAATGAGGATCAAAGAACTTACTTTTCAATTTTCTTCCTTTGTTCTTTTTGCCTCTGTTGTTCTTTCACTTGTTCTCTTTCAACATCCATGAAAAGTCGTCTATATCTCAGGTACCGCTTTTGACGCTAAAGAAAAGAAGTTAAAATTGTTAAGATTCCGCTCTCAGAGGGCTTTCCAAGAAAGGAAAATATCCTTGTGCCATAGACAAGAAAACTATATGACACAAAAGTCACAGGGAATTAAGTCCTTAATTTCCTTCTATTTATGGTGACTCAGGGTAATATCACATATAGCAAGAGATTTATATTTTCAAGCACATAGCTATTAGATGTAACAGACAAATCAGAGAAAGAAGTACTAATTTAGTTTGCACTTAGCATGGTCAGTTGTCAATAGCCCTTGAGGAAATGATTATATTTAATATGATAAGATACATACTATATTTACTCTGTGTTCCCAAGCAGTAAGTACCACAGAAGCAGAGCCAAAGAAAGAATGTAAGAGGTATTTTATAACAGAACAACGTCACTTTAACTTTCCAAAATTAAAACCACACTACAAAAGCACACTCTAAGCCTAGCCTAATATGGTGGGGAGGAGGGAGGGAAGATTGAGGAATATCAGAGCATCATACTTTTAAAGGGAACAAGTATAATAAAAGCAAATGCTAGGGCTTCCCTGGTGGCACAGTGGTTAAGAATCTGCCTGCCAATGCAGGGTACATGGGTTCAAGCCCTGGTCCGGGAAGATCCCACATGCCGCGGAGCAACTAAGCCTGCGCACCACAACTACTGAGCCTGCGCTCTAGAGCCCGTGAGCCACAACTACTGAGCCCACGTGCCACAACTACTGAAGCCCACGTGCCTAGAGCCCGTGCTCCACAACAAGAGAAGCCACCACAATGAGAAACCCACGCACCACAAGGAAGAGTAGCCCCTGCTCGCTACAGCTAGAGAAAGCCCGCGCGTAGCAACAAAAACCCAACGAAGCCAAAAATAAATAAATAAATAAAGCAAATGCTACTACCCTGTGTGTGATCTGTTCATACTTCCAAATTTATATATTCTCTTTTTAAGGGCACAAGCTACTCAAAGAGCACTAGTATACACACAGACATGTTTTTGTCCTTACAGTAGCTTGTGTCTTTTTGGTAAAAATTATTAAAACTATAATAACAGTTCTCAATATTGAAGATACATCACAATCATCTGTGGTGTTTTTTTAAAACACAGATGCCCCAAACCTACCTAAGATACTGATTCAGTATATCTGCTTTGGGTCCAGGCATTTGTATTTGGAAAAAAGCTCCATGTCTGATTCTGGTGCATGGCCAGTGTTAAAAACTGGTCATTTAAACTAACTTTAGATTGAAAAGGAAAAAAAGGAAGTCACAAATTAAAACTCTTCCTTAAATTAGCTATTATGGCAAATATACACTAACTGAAGAAACTCACTAGGATCACCTCTCTGATTTCACATCAAGGTACCCTAAATCCTGGAAGCTTAGAAGAGAAGCTCAACATATTAAAATGAGTCAAGCAACCTTTGTGCCTTTATCTATGGAATTTGTAGTACTAGCTCGTAATGTGTTAGGACACAACAAATTGTTTCCAATCTCACATATACTATTATAGTAGAAACACTGATGTCCAAAAGCCATTATCACTACATACCTCTTTCTTGTCTTCCTCTTGACTTACTCCTGACTGAAGTGCCAGTGGAGTTTGGAATTCAGTGTTCAATCCTGATTGATATTCACCACCAACCTGTTAGAAAGTCCAGTCACACAAAGAGACAAAATTGCCAAAAGTTAGCCCTATGTATGCTTTTGATAATTTCATCTATTGATTCTTTTCTCCTGCAATCTTGAGCTCAACTGGATAAAAATAATTTTTTAAACAAATATAAAAGAATAAAGCTTTAAGAAAGAATAAAAGAAAGAAATTAATCAAACAAAAACAATAAAGAAAAGAAAATATCCAGGTCAAAAACATGGATGGGGACTTCCCTGGTGGTGCAGTGGTTAAGAATCCACCTGCCAATGCAGGGGACATGGGTTCGAGACCTGGTCTGGGAAGATCCCACATGCCATGGAGCAACTAAGCCCATGTGCCACAACTACTGAGCCTGTGCTCTAGAGCCCGCAAGCCACAACTACTGAGCCCACACGCCACAACTACTGAAGCCTGCGCCTAGAGCCCATGCTCCGCAACAAGAGAAGCCTCCTCAATAAGAAGCCTGCACACTGCAATGAAGAGTAGTTCCCACTCGCCGCAACTAGCGAAAGCCAGCACACAGCAACAAAGACCCAACGCAGCCAAAAAAAGAGAGAATGAACTAATGACAGATCAAAGTGTTCAGAATGAAAGTCCTTCTAAATTGATCACTTGAAATCACTCTATCATGAGTGTGTGCTTGGGACTGAATCCAGGATATAAAACTAGATCCCTTAACATCTCAAATCTATAATCATTTCCAATCTATACATATTCTTGAAAGGTGTGAGTTTAGAGAATAAAAGCTTGAAAATATTATAGCCATCAACTGACATGGCAGGGAAGAAACTGGGGCTTATTTCCCCCCTAATTATTAGAAAAGCCTGTTGACATAACTTAGTACACTTAACTTGGACATTATATGGCTCAAATTATGATCTCTAACTTTTAGAAATAAAAGTTTAAAATTACTTTTATCTTTTTAGCTTAAAAGTTATTTATCTTTCAGCAAAGTTGCAAGATAAAGATCAGTATGCAAAAATCTATTGTATTTTTATGTACTTCCAATGAACAATCTGAAAATGAAATTAAGGAGAATATCCATATAAAATACCATCAAAAAATACTTAGAATAAATTTAATAAAGGAAGTGTAAATTGTATACACTGAAATCTACAAAACATTGTTGAAAGAAATAGAAGATCTAAATGAATCAGAAGACTTAATATTGTTAAGATGGCAAATTGATCAACAGATTTAATGCAATCTACATCAAAATTTCAGCTTACTTTTTTGTAGAAGTTGACAAGGTTATCCTAAAATTCATACGAAAATGCAAGGGACCCGGAATAGCTGAGATGACCTTGAAACAGAAGAACCAAGTTGGAGAATTCACTGTCCCCAATTTCAAAACTTACTGCAAAGCTACACTGATCAACACAGTGTGGTACTAACATAAGGATAGACTTATAGATCAATGGAATAGAACTGGTAGTTCAGAAATAAACTCTTAAATTTACAATCAACTAATTTTTGACAAGAGTGACGAGCGAATTCAACGGGTAAAAAGAGTCTTTTCAACAAACGATGTTGGGTCAACTGGATATCCAAGTGCAAAAAAGAATGAAGTTGGACCTCTACTGAACACCATATAAGAAAATTAATGCAAAGTGGATTGAAGACCTTGCAGAATGCAAGAGATATAAAATTCTTAGAGGAACACACAGAAGTAAATCTTCATGACCTTGGATCAGGCAATGGTTTCTTAGATATGACACCAAAAGCACAAGCCACGAAAAAATAAGTAACCTGGACTTCTTCAAAATTAAAAATTTCTGTGCTGCAAAGGAAAGGAAACCACCAAGAAAGTGAAAAGACAACCCACAGGATAGGAGAAAACATTTGCAAATCACAAAACAAATAAGGGTCCTGTATGTAGAATATGTTAAGAACTCACATAACTCAATAATTAGAAGATAAATAATCCAATTACAAGTTGCACAGAGGATTTAATAATTTTCCAAAGAAGATATACATATGGCCAATAAGCACGTGAAGAGATGCTCATCATTAATCATCAAGTAAATGTAAACCAAAACCACAATGAGATACGACTTCACACCCATTAAGAGCACTATAGACAATGACAAGTGTTGGTGAGGATGCGGAGAAATTGGAACCCTCATAATACTGCCAATGAGAATGAAAAATAGTGCAGCCACTTTGGAAACCAGTTGGGCAGTTCCTCAAAGGTTAAGCATATGATTACCATAAGTCTCAGCAATTCCCCTCCTAGGTATACACCCAAGGGAAATGGAAACACGTATCACAGAAAAACTTATAAACAAATGTTCATAGCAGCATTATTCATGACAGTCAAGAAGTGGAAACAATCCAAATGTCCATCAGCTGATGAATGGATAAATAAAACGTGCTAGATGAGTATAAGGGAGTGTTATCCAATGAATAGGAAGGAAGTACTACTACATGCTACAAGGTCAATGAACTTTGAAAACATTACGCTAAGTGGAAGAAGTCAGTGACAAAAGGCCATTCCACGATCTCATTTATACAAAATGTCCAGAACAGGCAAATCTATAGAGACAGAAAGTAGATTAGTGGTTGCCTAGGGCTGGGGATGGGGGTGAGGGGAAAAAGGGAGCGAGTGGCTGCTAATGGGTGTATGACTTTTGGGGAGTGATGAAAATATTCTAAAACCAATTGTGGCAAAGTTTGCACAACCCTTTGAATATAGTAAAAACACTGAATTGTACACTTTAAATGGGTTACTTGTATGGTATATAAAGTAGTCAATCCTCATTATTTGAATACTCCTATATTATTTGTGAATTTGTCTATTCGCTAAAATGTATTTGTTATCACAAAATGAATACTCACAGTGCTTTTGTGGTCACTTGCAGACATGCACAGAGCTGTGAAAAATCTGAATCATCAGTTGTACACATTGCAAGCTGAGGTCGAACACGGTGATGCTCTGCCTTTGGGCCTTCATACTGTAAACAAGTATCCCTTTCAAGGTACATTTGGTGCAAAGGTTTTTACATTTCTGTGCTTTTTTTGTTGATTTTGCTGTTTAAAACATCCCTCAAGCACAGTGCTGAAGCACTACCTAGTGTTCTTAAGCATAAGAAGGCTGTGATGTGCGTTATGGAGAAAATATTTACATATGTTAGATAAGCTTTGTTCAGGCACGAGCTATAGTGACACTGGCCCTGACTACAATGTTAATGAATCAACAACACACATTAAATAAGGTATCTTTAAACAGAAATTCACACAAAACAGTTGAGCAATGAATGGTTAAGTATTCACTAAAATTCAGTGTTTATGGCAACTTTATAGAACATAACTACTATGAATAAAGAGAATTGATTGTATATTTCAATAAGGCTGTTATTTTTACAGTTATTTATTTGTTATAGAGAAAATCTGAAAACAATACATAGCAAAAGGCTAATGGTGGTTATCTCTGGAATTTGGGGTTTTTTTTCTTTTTTTTTATTTGTATTTACTTTTGCTATAATAAAAATGAAATTTTCTGCTTTCAAAAAAGTAAGAAAAACTGGACTTCCAGCACTGGCCAAGGAGTAAGCCCACTCTGAGCCTCTCTCTCTCACTGAGTGTAACTAAAAATTCCAGGAAATGTGGCCCCTGGTATCTGGAGAGTATATGGGGTGGGTATCCTCAAGAGGAGTGAGTTCAGAACTCTACTCAATACTCTGTAATGACCTATATGGGAACAGAATTTAAAAAAAGAGTGGATATGTGTATACGTATAACTGATTCACTTTGCTGTACAGCAGAAACTAATACAACATTATAAATCAACTATACTCTAATAAAAATTAATTTAAAAAAAAAGATGCATGAGTTAGAAAAGTGGATTCCTTAATTCTGTGTATGAACTGGCACACATCCCAGAATCACCCCTGAGCTGTGCATGCATGGGATGGACTTAAAGAAGTATAATGAAGGCTTTGAGAACTGAACTAACATTGGAGCCACTGTTCACAGATGAGAAAGAACATATAATCTGAATTTAACCAGGTTGACTGCTTGCCAAAACAAACAAACAAAAATATGCGACATTATTCAGAGGATTTTAATAGAAACCTGTCTCACAATATTCAAAATTGGACCCAGAAGAAAAGATGGCAAGAGAATCCAGAATACGGATCCAAAGAAAGACATCTCTTCCTCTGAGATTAGTAGGAACAGGTAAGAATGGCAAAAAAGTAAATGGTCAAGGGAGTTATTGCATGATGGCTTCTATTTTTTTTTTTATCGAAAGTCTGAGAGTATGGGGGTGCAGCAGGAACTTTAAGGAGTATTTAAGGGTTAGAATGATCAGTGTGAGCCATATGTGAGGGAGCGGACAAGTGGCAAGTAAGGAAAAAGCTAGGCAGCACTGAGGACCCAGCTGTGACTATAAACCGTAAGGATGAATGTGTATAAACCTACACTATTAAAGAGCTTTTTTCCAATAAGGCTGGATTATTTGGGAGCCTAAAAGGTGAAAGGACTGATCCAGGGTTGAGGATTTTCAGGGCTGGTACAGCAGAAGGACAAGAAGAAGAGGTTCTGACTACCAAAGCTGCACCCTCAATTAAACAGTCAGAATTAGGTACCCCTCTTCTGTGCTCAGCTAATGCCCTATGCATCCTCTACCACTAATTATGTTGCTTCAAAATTATCGCTTATTTGTCAGTCTCTCTTCTTTAGACTGTCTGAAACTTGAGTGCTATGTCTTGTTCATAGTTATATCTTTGATATTTAGAACATAAACAATGGTTAACATCAAACAGGTGCTCAATAAGTGTTTGATTGACTAATTCTTTCTAAACAAATTTAGCAAGAAACCAGCAGGTACCAGGCACCATGTTAAAGGCTGTCCACACTCCAATAAACAAAACAAGTGTGGTGCCTCTCCTCATAAAGCTTATAGACTAGTGGAAGTCATGTAAATAAGTAAATAATTACAAACTGTCTTGTTTATGGAGAGGGAAAAAAAAACAGAATGCAGGAACAGAGGAAAAACAGAAGAGGGGAGGCCTAATCTTGATAAGGTGGTCAGAGAAGTCTTTTCTAAAAAGGTGACATTTAAGCTGAAACGTGAAGGGTGAGAAGGGACCAGCTTTGTGAAGAAAAAAGAGAAGGGCTTCCCTGGTGGTGCAGTGGTTGAGAGTCCGCCTGCCGATGCAGGGGACACGGGTTCGTTCCCCGGTACGGGAAGATCCCACATGCCGCAGAGCGGCTGGGCCCGTGAGCCATGACCGCTGAGCCTGCGCATCCAGAGCCTGTGCTCCGCAAAGGGAGAAGCCACAACAGTGAGAGGCCCGCGTACCACAAAAAAAAAAAAAAAAAAAAAAAAAAAAAAAGAAAAAAGAGAAGACTATCCAAGCAGAGGGGGAAAAAAAGCAAAAGAGCTGAAGTAGAAAAGGGTCTGGCATAGTTCAGGATATATAAACGGCGATGCAGAAGAAAACATGACAGCCTTCCCTTAGACCAATCTTAAGAGACCCAAGCCAAAAATAACAGAGGAGCTGCAGTTTAGTCCTAAAAACCTCAGCCCAAATCCATAATTCTGCCTTTATGCCTCCTTTTCTTTCTGCTCTCTTAAAAGAGCCAAGAGGAAATTTCTCTTTATCTCTTTCATATATTCTAACAACACTGGTTGCCTGAAGGCTTTAAAATAACGTGAAACCACAAGTCAGAAATTATCCAGACAATGGTAAAATTCTAGTGGGAATAAACTAGACTTCAGTTAAGTCATAGAAAAATCTTACTAGGCCAGTGTACCGTGACATTTTCTTGAAAAACTATAGATCTTAAATCAATACACCAAAACTTAGGCAATATAACCCTAACAAGCTCCAGCCCAAATTCTGAATAGTTTCTTTCTTGGTGATCCTACCTTATGCTCTCCCAGGTTACTGATGGAGATCTAGTCCTGGCTGTTGGTGAAAGATCCTCCCTCCCCCTCCCCCCAGAAACCACTTATTTCTTTCCCTCTCACACCATAGACAACAAGGGCCACCAGAAATACACCTTTAATGAAAGAACATACATGTAAAAAATACAATTTTTCCAATAGGCAACAAGTTCTCCTGACAATACCCTAGGCTTCGGTGAGTAATCTTAGGTTTTACACACTATGAAATAAACCCAGAATCTGCTTTTTGCTCAGCCTTACTGCTCCCAACTCAGTAGGACCCACAACCCTATCTAAACTCCAGGGCTCATACTCTACAGTTTGCTTTACCTGTCTGCTGCTGGGAGCCTCTCTCTGGCACTTGGGTGGAAGATGCTGACGGCCAGCCGGAAGCAAACCTGCTTGCCATCTTTCAGCTGTTCCAGCAGATGGTTGCCGTATGGAGCGTAAGCTCTAAAAGATACAAATGCATTCACCAAATGGCGTGAGCAGTGACGTAATGGTAGTAAAAATACTTTAGGCTGCAGCAATAGCCGTGATGTAATCTAAATAGGTCAGAATAGTCTAATATATTACGGCATAAAAGTAGACATTACACTTCTTGCCACTACTATGGATCTTAACTGTATCTGCGAAGCAATCCTAAGTTTCTCTATCCATAAAACAAGGATAATAACAGTATCCATCTCCCAGGGTAATTGTGAGAGTTAAATGAGACAATGGATACAAAGTTTTAGAACCATTTTGGCTATGGTAAATGCTTAATGAATTTAAGCTGTTAGTCTTAATAATATTAATAACATTATTGATAATATTAATAAGAGATAACACTATCGTCATCATCGTTGTTGTTGGTAGCATAGCTCTGGCAAGTCTATATCAAACTCTAACTAACTGACTTTCTGCTGCTTACACTTTACTATACTCTGCTCTACCTGCTCTCTGGTGGAGCCTGGATCCTGGATATCATGTAAAACATATTCATGGTGCTCCAGAAATAACTCCTTTCTCCATCTCTCATCTGTCATATTATGTGAGGCCTGCCCATAGTTCCTGTGCTAAAAGAAAACAAACACTGAACATCAATTGTCCAAGCAGTAGCATCATGCCAGGGCAATAGTAAAAGCTTCAGTGAAGAGGCCAGAAGTTTTAACAGGGCAGAATGGTCACAGAACAGGAGGACATTATATCTTTGCCCATTGTTATTGACCTTAACATTAAACCCCTGAAACAGTTACTACTTTGCCCTGTCAATCTTGAACCAAAACCTAAGGAATTTACTCTCTGTTACTTACTTCTCACTATATTGTGCTTTACTTACTCTCTGGGAGAGGCTAGGTCTTGAATACCAGGTGAAACATACCGATGGCACTTCAGAAGCAACTCGTCTTTCAATCTCCCATTTCTCAAAAGATGAGGGCTGCTTGATACACTTGTTCTAAAGGAATAACAAAACACACAACTAATTGTCTAAGCAAAAATTATAGGTTAGTGACAATACTGTACACTTCAATGACAACCCTGAAATAATACTAGGGAAGGGTGATATAACAATTAGAGGTGTGCATGTGTGTGTTTAATATAAAATTTCCAAACATACATAAAAGTGGGAAAAAATTAGTATAATAAGTCCCAAGATACCTATCACCCAGCACTGACAATTAGCAACATCATGTTTTTTGTTTTTGTTTTTTCTTTTAATTTTTATTGGAGTATGGTTGATTTTACAAGGTTGTATTAGTTTCAGGTGCACAGCAAAGTGAGTCAGTTATACATACATCCACTCTTGTTTAGATTCTTTTCCCATATAGGCCATTACAGAATATTGAGTAGAGTTCCCTGTGCAATACAGTAGGTCCTTATTAGTTATCTATTTTATATATAGTAGTGTGATATGTCAATCCCAATCTCCCAATTTGTCCCTCCCAGCAACATCATGTTTTTTCATCCATCTCTTCTCCCACTTTCTTTCCTGGAGTATTTTAAAGCAAATCCCAGATTATTCTGGCACTTTTTTTCTTTTTCATTTTTTGCATGGGGCAACTCTTTATTCAACAACACATTTGGAAGAAGATAAGGCAACAAGGCAATATTTTTATAATGTTGCTAGCATTTTCTCATGTAAAGCCAGGAAAAAAGCTTGTGTCATTTCCCAAAGTACTCCTACTCGATGTCCCCAATAACTCCATGCCGAAACACTAGAAGAGGTGAAGTCTAGGAAGTTTTGAGAGGCAAACAGCTTGTTTGTTACTTCATCATAACTGGTTTGCAAATTTGATGTCTGGCTTTGGGGTACTGCTTCAGATGGCCAAGAGTAGAATTCCTTCAGTATGTATAAGACTAAATGTCAAAAGCCAAATTTGCTGAAGGACTTGAGTTTAAGAAGAACAATTTACGGATAACCAATCAACTTTATATAAAACCTATCTCTTATTTAACCCAAATGACAGAGGTATGCTTTCTCACCTGGACTCTTTAGATCTGGCACATTCTGAAATAAATGAAGACATCATACTCTTAGCCTAACTCTAGAAGCTTTAATTCTATGTAGTCTACATACTAGCTAGCTTGGCAAGCTCCAGCCCAAATCTTAAGAAATTTCATCTGTTACTCTTTTAGAAAGTAGACAGTGCTCTCACTGTATTCTGCTCTACCTGCTCTCTAGGGGAGGCCTGGTCTTGCATTTTAGGTTTAACATTCTGATGACACCCCAGAGTCAATTCATCTCTCACTCTCTGTTCTCTCATAAAAGACGACAGTTGCTTCAGAAACATGTTCAAAAGAAACAACAAAAACAGAAAACAAGTCGTCTAACCAGGGCAACATGCTAACCTTAATACTCTAGGCTGCAGTGAGAACTCCAGGGAAATGGTACCAGATGAGGCTATTCTGATACATTTTGGTTTGAACGAGGATGTTATACTTTTACCCCGACTCTATAGATCTTAATTTTTAATCCCCAAACATGTACAGAATAGTCTAACAAACACCCCCCCAATTTTTAATTTAGGATCTGCTAATTCTTCCTATAATATTCACGTAAGGGCAGTGTGCTTGTGGTAATAATATGGGCTTCAGCAAAAGTTATAGCATAATCTTAGTAAATTAAAATAGTCTGATTCCACAATAAGAATATGAATGTGATTTATCATCCTTCTGAATGACAGAACTGATTTGACTGATACAGTTCACTGAACAAGAATCTGATTCTATATTTCACATTACCAGTTGTTGAAAATGTATGAAATCCAGTTACTTTATTTCCTATCTATCTCTTTCTGATTGTGCTCTACCTGATCTCTGATGAAGGCCTGGTCCTGAAGTTTAGGAGGCAGATACTGATAACCTGCCAGAGAAAAGTCTTCTCTCCCTTTCTCATGTGTAATATCACAATATGACTCCTTGAAGCGTACCTTCTAAAAGAGAAAAACACATAAAGTGTAAATTGTTCAGTGGGAGTAACATGATAGCAATAATATTCTAGGCTTTATTGGGAGCCTTACAGTAATTTTTTCAACTCCAGATAATGTGAAACATTATGGAATAAAACAGAAAACCATACTTTTTGAAATCTAGCTAAGAACAATCTTGGAAAGTTCCAAACCAAACCCAAACAATGCAGTTCCTGATGGTCCCTCTCCTTTTTCTGCTCTACCTTGCCATTGATGAAGGCCTGATCTTGATGCTTGTGTAGAAGATCTTGACGGACATCCAGAGGAGACACCTCCCCCCGACTCCTACCTATCAAAACTGATGCTGGCGGCTTCAAATCTGCTTTCTAAAAAAGAACAAATATAAAATAGCAATTGTTCAGTTAAGAAAGACAGGTTAATCAATAATACTTTAGGTTCGGCTTCCCTGGTGGTACAGTGGTTAAGAATCCGCCTCCCGTTGCAGGGGACAAGGGTTCGAGCCCTGGTCCGGGGAGATTCCACATGCCGCGTAGCAACTAAGCCCGTGCGCCACAGCTACTGAGCCTGCGCTCTAGAGCCCGCGAGCCACAACTACTGAGCCCGTGCGCCTAGAGCCCGTGCTACGCAACAAGAGAAGCCACCCAGTGAGAAGCCCGCCCACCACAACGAAGAGTAGCCTCCGCTCGCCACAACTAGAGAAAAGACCGTGCACAGCAACAAAGACCCAACGCAGCCAAAAATAAGAATAAATAAATTTTTGAAAAAAAAAAATAATAATACTTTAGGTTGCACTGAGAATTCAGGAGTTAACTGAGGTCAGAGTTTAATTGAACATCTTACAGAATAAATTAACACACTATACTCTATTCCCCATAAACCCAGCCACAACCCTAAGTAATTTACTTCCTATTGATCCCTTTCTTCTTCCTCTTGGTCTACCTGATCTCTGGTGGAGGGCTGACCTTGGAACCTGGGTAAAAAATACTGTTGGACACTTGTGGGCCACTCTTTTTTCCCATCTTTCAGCTCTCAAAACAGATGACGGCTGCAAGAAATACTTCCCCTAATGAAGAAAATTTTTTAAAAAGCAAATTTTCCAGACAGGGGTAATATGCTGCTGATAATATTTTAACACTTAATAAGAACTGTGGACATTTATTTGATAAATCAATCAGTGAACTATTTTGTTCCAACTATGGCTCTCCAAATCAGCTGCAATATAGTCCTTGCAAATCCCACTACAAGCCTTAAAGAGCTTATTTCTTTTTGTTATATCTCCTTTCCACTCTATTTTACCTGAACTCTGGGTAGAAAATCCTGGTCCTGGCATTTGGGTTGAACATTCTGGTCTTTGAGAAGAACATGCTGGTCTGTGGGTAGAAAAGCCTGGTTTTGGAGTAGAAAATCTTGGACTTCCAAAACAATATTCCCATCTTCTAGTTCAACACTCTGATCTTTCAGCATAACACTCTGAGTTTTGGTCTTAACAGCCTGGGCTTTGGGCTCAACAGCTTGGCCTTCCAGCTTGATATCCTGGGTACCGAGCCTCAGCTCAACACTCTGGGCTTCCAGCTCAACACTGCAGACACCTGTCAAATCACCCTGGGTTTGCAGCAGGTCACCTTGGGCTTCTGGAAGATAATCCTGGGCTTCTGGCAGAACATCCTGATGTAACTGATTTACCTCTTCCTCTTCCATCACAGCAAATAATGGATTTTTGAATTGTACTTTCTAAAAGTGAACATAAACATCAAATATAGAATGCCAAGGAGCAGCAACACTGGGTTTTCTGCAAGATTCCTAAAATAATCTTAAAAGGATACGGTAGTCAAACAAATTACTAAAATAAAATGCAAAATTACAGTCTTTGCTCAACTCAATAGAACCTAAATCTACAGTCCCAAACCAGTACAAGAATACTGGCATCTCTAGTCCAAATCATAATTACTTTAATTTCTATTATACTATCTCCTTTCACTCTGCTTTACCTGAATTGTGCTGAAAGGTATATCCTTGTCTTCAAAAAGGAGATCCTGCTGGTCCCCACAAGACAAATTCTTTTTCCCTTTCTTATCTATCATAATAGATGAAGATTCCTCAGTGTCAGGTTCCTAAAGAACACACAAACAAAAATGGAAAAGAAAAAAAAAACCAACCAAATGTATCTGTTACAGGTAGAAACAAGAATGCATGCAAAAGCATTAAGTTAGAACTCTTCCTCACACCATATATAAAAATTAACTCAAAATGGATTAAAGACCTAAATATGAGAGATAAAATTATAAAATTCTTAGAAGACATAGGATTAAGCAATGGCTTAATAGATACTGCACCAAAAGCACAGCAGCAAAAGAAAAATAGATAAATTAGACTATACCAAAACTAAAAATTTTGTGCTGCAAATGATAGCATTAAGAAAGTGAAATGACAACCCAGAGAATGGGAGAAAATACTTGCAATCAAGTATCTGATAAGAGACTTGTATTCAGAATATATAAAGAATTCTTATAACTTGATAATAAAAAGACAACTCAATTTAAAAACGGCACTACAGGGGCTTCCCTGGTGGCGCAGTGGTTGGGGGTCTGCCTGCCGATGCAGGGGACACGGGTTTGTGCCCCGGTCCGGGAGGATCCCGCGTGCCGCAGAGCAGCTGGGCCCGGGAGCCGTGGCCGCTGAGCCTGCGCGTCCGGAGCCTGTGCTCTGCAGCGGGAGAGGCCACAACAGTGAGAGGCCCGTGTACCACAAAAAAAAAAAAAAAAACGGCACTACATTTGAATACAGATTTTCTCCACGAGAGATATATAAATGGGCAATAAGCACATGAAAAGATATTCAAGATGATTAGTCACTGGGAAAATACAAATCAAAAGTATGGAGAAATCCCACTTCACACCCACTAAGGTGGCAAAAACAAGTTTTGAAGACGATGTGGAGAAAATGGAACCCTCATACATCGTTGATGGAAAACACCTTGGCAGGGGCTTCCCTGGTGGCACAGTGGATAAGAATCTGCCTGCCAATGCAGGGGACAGAGGTTTGATCCCTGCTCTGGGAAGATCCCACATGCCGTGGAGCAACTAAGCCCGTGTACCACAACTATTGAGCCTGTGCTTTACAGCCCGCGAGCCACAACTACTGAAGTCCGCGTGCTTAGAGCCTGTGCTCCGCAACAAGAGAAGCCACCGCAACGAGAAGCCTGCACACCGCAACAAAGAGTAGCCCCCGCTCACCGCAACTAGAGAAAAGCCCACACACAGCGATGAAGATCCAACACAGCCAAAAATAAATTTTAAAATTAATTAATTTTTTAAAAATTAAAAAAAAAACACATTGGCAGTTCCTCAAAATATTAAACATAGAGTTAACATGACCCAGAAATTCCACAACCAGAGAAATGAATGTCCATACAAAAACATGTAAAAATTGCTTATAGCACAATTATTCATAAAAGCTAAGAAATGGAAACAACACAAATGTCTATCAACTGATGAACAGATATACTAAGCGTGACATACTGATGTACTGATACATGCTACAATGTGGACGAACTTTGAATACATTATGCAAAATGAAAGAAGCCAGTCACAAAAGACGCCATATTATATTATTCCATTTATATGAAATGCCCAGAATAAGCAAATCTACAGGGACAGAAAGTAGTTTAGTGGTTGCTTAGTACTGGGGGTAGGGACAGGGAGGGACTGGGGAGTGACAGTTAACAGGTACGGGGTTTCTTTCAGGGGTGAAGAAAATCTTCTAAATTAGATTGAGGTGACAGTTGCACAACCCTGTGAATACACCAAAAACCTCTGAACTGTACACTTTAAGTGGGTGAATTGTGCGGTATGTGAACTATAGCTTAATAGAACTGTTAGAAAAAAACAACTATTGGGCATTATAATCTTAATACTTAAACCCATCCTTAATTAGCTGTGGATAGTTCTAACAAGGCATCTTTTTTCCTCTACTCTTTACATTTCCCTACCTGATCTTCCATAAATTTCTGGTAATCTACAAGAGTTAAAAGACCTTGATGGACCTCAAAGGGCATTTCTCCTCTTATCCCTATATTTATCCTGGTGAATGATGGTTTCCTACAAAGTGCTTTCTGAAAAAAAAGAAAAATTAATACAAATATAAATGGTCTAGAGAAAGCAATATGCTCATGACACTAAGCTGAGTTTTTGTGAAAGATCTGGAGCAATCCTAGCAGGTTATGGTAGTCTAATACAGAATATTGAGTTCTATTTCAAGTATACAAACAAGTCACTTACATATCAAACACATGGAAGTGAAATTCCTGGTAGGAGAATTTTTTTTTTTAACATCTTTATTGGAGTATAATTGCTTTACATTGTTGTGTTAGTTTCTGCTGTATAACAAAGTGAATCAGCTATACATATACATATATCCCTGTATCCACTCCCTCTTGCGTCTCCCTCCCGCCCTCCCTATCCCACCCCTCTAGGTGGTCACAAAGCACGGAGCTGATCCTGGTAGGAGAATATTTTAACTTTATAAATGATAATTTGCCCCTATCCTAGCCAGTAACAATTTTAGAAGGCTTACAATTTTGTCTTGGTGATCTAACAGTGGGCAAGGCAAATATATCTCTTCTACGTTTATCTCTAAATCTGGAATGACCAGATGTCAGTCAAAATAAGTCAAACAAGAAAACGAAACCAGAGTTCAACTGGGTTATAGATTGTTCTCCTTTCTGACTGGCAGCTTCCTCCTTCACACAACTGAATGGATAGAAAACTGTTCAGATTTGAGGGAAAGACTACGTACTTGATAAGAAAAATTTCACCAGTTTCTTAGATCATTCTCAATTATATGGAGTAGATTTGTTTGCGATGTTTTACCTGAAAAACACACATGCATTCTTTGGAAGCAAGCAGCTAGCCTGAATTCACCATCAACATCATAATGAATTACACTTAAATTGCACCTTTGACGTATCACACTGGTTTACACAAGGATGTTATCTCAGACTTAATCCTCCTCCCTTCTACTGGAGAATTATTTCAGTCAGGCCTAGTACTCTTTCTGGGAAAAACATCAGTTGAAAGATTTGAACATGCTCCACACAATGTGAAGTATCAGTCTCTAGGCTCCGATAACCCTTTTTTTTTTTTTACTGGCTTAAATAAAATGTGTCCAATCATCTCCTTTGAGCAGTACCGGGAAGTCAGTCTTATGGACCAAACTACAGTACTGCCAAATCCGTGGTAGAGGTATGAAAATTGTCAAGAAACTAAGTCAAGAATTTAGTTTCAAAAGAGTCTTAAGTCACAACAAGGCAATCCTAGAAAAAGGTAACCATACTTAATGCATCTAAGATGGAATGCCATATGTAGGCACACCCATGCCCACTTGTTTTTTATATTTAACTATAAATTTCTTAATTATTGCTGAAGAGGAAGGTATTATAGCTTAGTATTCTACCAACTGCAAACATATAAGAGACAAATGTCTTTGATGGTTGCACAGAGATACTTAAGGAAAAAATACAAAAATAAAATATAAACATATATGTAATCTAGGAAAATGTAAAAAAAATACCAATCAGGAAGCAAAACTGAGAAAGAACTAAGCAAGAGACAGAGTTCTTAATGGTACCAAAAAAAAGAGTAAAAAAAGACTAATTAATGAGCCATTTTACTGATGCTGCCTATCAAAACTTGAAATTAATGCTAAAATTAAGTAAACACAGGAAAATACATGGGTTTAACATCCAAATTTGTGAACATAAAAATAAGGAGGCACCAAAACAATGTAATTTTACAAGCATAGCTTTAAATATTCTTTTAAGTCTAACTCCATATTTAGGTTCCAATTATTCACCCTAAACTTATTCTATATTTTGAATCAAAAGAATTTCTTTCATTTTGAAAAATAATGGTATTGACTTCTTCCTGATTAAAAAATAAAATATATACATTATGGAAAATTTCTACAGTAAAGAAAACCAAGAGAAAAAAATAAAAATCACCTGTAATAACACTATCCAGAAATAATCAGTATTAACCTCTTGGTCCATTTCTTTCCAGGCCTTTCTCTGTGCTCATAGCATTCTCTCCCCATCTCGATATTTTGCTTTATTTTTTTCATAGCATTTATCATTTGAAATTATATTTTCTATTCATTTGCTTATTTATTACATGCTTCCCTACTAACACAGGAGCTCCTTGTCTACCTTTTCACCACTGTTAAGTCCTGCTTCTAGAACAATGCCTGGCAATCGTAGACATTCCATAAATATTTATGGAATGAATTTTTTTAATTGAGCTTACATTGTATCTAATTTTATATCCTACTTTTTCCACTTAACTTTATATCACACTTTCCCTAGTCTTCAGATATCCTTTGAAAGCATATTTTTCATAATAGCTATAAACGAATATATCATAACTTTTAAACCGCTCCCTACTATTGGATAATTAAGGTTATTTCCAATTATTTTTCAGGTCTAAATAATGTAGAGATGTAAATTAATCTTTATCCTATTTTTTATCTGAATTTTTAGAAACAGCTCATTAGAATTTAATTTACCTCTTGGGTGGAAAAGTTTTTCTTTTGATCATCTGGAAACACCAATGCATTTTTTTTATTCACAGTTTTAAATGATGCCAGCCGGTGACGTGCTTCTTTCATGGTTTGACTAAGCTGCCAAAGAAAGCGGAAAAAAAGAAAAGAAAAACAGGCTAAAGTCTTAATACCAAATTCACTAAGTGTTCCAACAGGAAAACAGGCCCCTATTATGAAAAATTGCCAGACCTAAGACAAGAGGATTACTTGGAAAGGAGATTTTCTGATCTGCTGATAAGTGTATTTACAACATTATTTTCATTATCTTAAGAGACTGTATTTCTTAACTTGATTTAAGTGCTGTTACTCAAATCGTTTTTTAATAATGTAGGCTTTATATTAAGTACATACATAAAAATATTAGAACCTATAAGTCTGAATTTGGAAATTATTGAGCAGACACATTCCTTACCTTCTATCCATCTTCTTAATAAAGAGTTATTTCTTCAACTGGTCCTTGCATGCCTGATCACTTTTATCACTCCTTGTAAGAAGACTCTATTCCTAGTCCCCTTAAAATCCTTTTTTCCTATTTACATGAGTCTCTTCTTCATCCATAACATTTGAAAACTATAGTTATTTAGTCTTTTCTCAAATGTCTCTTCTTCCAGGAAGCCTTCCTAAGTTAATTTAGAGTACAAATTCAAACCTGTCAACAGACCAATTTGTTTCAGGTACTCTAGGTAACAACTGATAATAAATATTAATATTAAATATGTTAATTTTGTGTTCATTCCTTATCTCTACCTAGCAACTTCAGTAAGTATCTATTTTGACTTCTTTTTCAGAGAAGCACACAGCCTATTTTACATTTCACATATCTGCATAGAATGTTCCTTTAAGGAAAATACAGAAAAGCACATCCCTATACTACTCAGTGAAAATATGGCAAAGCCAGGACCAGTTCTAACCCATCCAATGAAAGTTTAATGACATCATTTCTCCCTTAAAGGGAAATAATGACTGTGATTTACAGATACAAATTACAAATACTTTATGATATTTACTAATAGTGACCTAGAGATAAAAACACTCTCTTGCTAACAGCCCAATTTCCTTACAGCATTATCACCTCTGTTTTGTCCTTGTTTCTAGAAGGTCTACACCTCTAGCCAGAGAAATCAGCTTGAAACATTACTCTTTATTCTACTAAGAGGAGGACTTCTAAATTTGGTTAGTGCAGAGTGGCTAAAGGGGTCAAGATAGAATTAATCACAATGCAAAAAGAGATAGTATATCTGCAGTTGAAGTTATGAAAAAATACAAAGCCATGAACATGCTTACTTTTACTCCTTGCCAAGTGTGGTAGACATTATTGCCCTGCACAAAGTGACCAAGGATGCAAAATACTTGCTGTAACATTTAAAATAAGAGTACATAATCTTCATTTTCCATCAAGTCCAAACCTCTATTAGTCGCAGATTGATTTTAGTCCCTTAAGCAGGATATTTCAACTGGTCCAGCAGTTGGACTAAACATTACGTTCAGTTTTTCTGTCTTTACCAAAACCCTTCATCAAATCAACCCAAAGATCCTTTCAATGACCTGCTATGAGGACTGTAGTAGGCTGAATAATGGCCACCCAAAGATATCAGGTCTTAATCCCTGAAATGTTACTTTATAAGGAGAAAGGGCCTTTGCACGTGTGATTAAGTTAAGGATCTTGAGATGAGGAGATAATCCTGGATTATCCAGACGGGCACTAAATGCCATCACAAGTGTTTTTATAAGAGAGGTAGAGGAAGATCAGACATATGGAAGAAGTGATGTGAAGATGGAGGCAGAGATGGGTCTGATGTGGTCACAAGCAAAGGAATGCCAGCAGACACCAAAAGCTTCAAGAGTCAAGGAACAAATTCTCCCTAGAATCTGCAGACACCTGGATTTTGACTCAGTGAAACTGATTTTAGACTTCTGGCCTCCACAACTGTAAGAGAATAAGTTTCTGTCATTGTAAGCCACTAAGTTTGGGGTAATTCATTACAGCAGCCACAGGAAACTAATACAAAGACCAAAGTTAGTGTCAATAAGCACTAAACAAAACACAGAAGACAGGAGGATGGTAAAAATCAAATTATGTAAAATGAACAGGCAGAGAAGTACGTTCCTCTTATTGTAAGATAATGGTGATCACTACATATATTGGTGAGTATGTGTGTGTATATATATGCATTTGTATGTGTGTATATATACATATATATTTACGTATGTAAGTTTAAACACATATACATGTTGTGTTTGTAACTACTCAAAACATAAAATTTGACCAAAAGTCTTGTCTTTTCTTTTTCTTTTTGGGGGGCCGTGCCATGCGGCTTGCGTGATAGCCCCCCAACCAGGGATTGAACCCAGGGCCACGGTACCGAGTCCTAACCACTGGACTGCCAGGGAACTCCCCCAAAAGTCTTTTCTGTACTAGAAGCTTAGACACAATTTTCATTCCTTTGTAGCTGTGGTTATCAACAAAGACTGGCACTGAATAGCTAACCAAGACTTAAAAATTCCCTGATGGAAATAAATTATTATATAATTACATAGAAAACCCAGCTATCAATAAGCAAAGGTAGTTCTGACCAATAAAATTAAAATGTACTATATAAACACATTTTGAGATTTAAATAAACAAATTTTGAGACTTAAATCTTAAAATCTAAAGCAAACACTGATCATATATTAAAATGTAAAACTTCAAACAAATATGTAGGATGAAATTTGACAAATATAGATATCTACTGTGATACTGTTCCCCACTCATTGTTCATATTTTCTTCAGTTCTTTTTAATTTATTCAGACAATTAGGAATTTATATGGAACTATATAAATGAAACAATGTGGTAATAACATGTAGGTCATGGGAAAAGACTATAGATGAGATCTAACATTTATAGAATTTCACCTATTGTACTGCCATGGAGGCCTAATACCTATGTATTTAAATGTATGTTAATGCCATAAAAATCTACCCAAAGTTGAATTCTATCCAAGTACAATATAGTTTATTTGCAAAAGATAATATATTGATTTTTCAGTGTGTTAGACTTTTCTACAGCCACAAAAATACCATACACATAAAAACTCACATGAGGCCCTTAGCATAGCCTATGAACCCCAATGTAGTGCATCAACAAAACTTTAAGTAGGTGTACCAAGCTAGAATCTGGCCAGTAACCTAGACCTAATGCAAAAAGGCAGGATGGGCCAATAAAGATTCCTTACCTTACATAATGAACAAGGAAGTGTTCAGAGAAAAAGTCAGAGACAGGAGCTGGACCTAAAAGATCCTAAGCTGGAGAGAAGAGGCTAAAGGAGCCTCAGGTATGCCAAAGTTTTGGAGCTGTGATGATGAAAATACCAGTTAATAGTAGAAAAATAAGTAAAGAAGAGAGAACACATATAGAGACAGGATGACCAACTCTCAGTTTGCCTGAAACTGTCCCAAAGGAGTTAGTGCTTGAACTCTGCCTCATTGTCTAGTTCTTAGCGACATCTAGTGGATAGAAACTGCAACAAAAACAGTACGATTAAAAAAAATTGAGCATCTATTGTCATGGTGTTGTATGGGCAAAAGTTTACAGGCTTAAAGTAGTTTAAGTCACTGAACATTCCTCAGTAGTGCATCTTCTTTTAAGAAAAAAACAAGGTTGGGAATTCCCTGGCTGTCCAGTGGTTAGACTCCGCGCTTGTACGGCTGGGGGTACGGGTTCGATCCCTGGTTGGGGAACTAAGATCCCACATGCCACAAGGCACAGCCAAAAAAAAAAAGAAAAGAAAAGAAAAAAACGGTATAAAAACTTTTTAGATTTGGGGAACATTTAAGGCTTTTCATAACCTGATTTTTTCCTACCCGTCTAACCTCATTTTCTGTTGCTTTACCCTGTACACTATCAATTAGAAAGTTTCCATCACTTATTAGCAAATATATTGGGTTGGCCAGAAAGTTTGTTCGGGTTTTTGTAAGCTGTTACAGAAAAACCTGAACGAACTTTCTGGCCAACCCAATACTAAGCTCATTACATATTCTAGACTTTTTACTATTCCTCCTATCTCAAAATTCTTTTGAATTTACCAATTAAATTCAGTTTACCAATTCAAAATACACAGCTCAATTCCACCTCTTCCAGGAATTCTTCCCAAACTATCTCCTTGGAATTAAAAAATGTTTGAATTTCCACTGCACAAATTTATCAACAATGCAGCAAATATCTCCATATTATTATCTAATAGATTGGGGGTCTACCAACTTTGTTTCTCTACTTGGAAATATAAACCCATGAAAGGTCCTATTTCACACATTAGTATCCCTACAATGTTTAACAAACACAGTATATTCAAATATCTGTGGACTGATGTGTCATATTCATGTATCATACAAATGAAAATTGTATTGTAAAATCCTCACTACAATGGAATTTATAGCTACCAGTAGCATGAAAGCAAGGACTGTTATTCTGTCTCAGTCAATGTTCTATCCTTTGCAATTTCTGCAGTGCCTGGCTCAATAAATATTTGCTCAGTAAACTGTTCATAATCTTAAAAACAAAAATGATTATAAAAATGATCACTACAAACCAAATAATGACAAGAAAAAGTCATAGTTTGGGCAGAGAGAAAAATCTTTTTAATAAGTATTTCAACATCACATGTGACTATAAAGCTTTCCCTATTTATACTAACAGCAATAATCAGATTTGCTTCATACTTATGACAAAGTATGTCAGCAATCACACAACTTTTATTTTCACATAATCATAATTTTCCACATTTTTGTTCTCCCCTCACTAGCCCTAGGATTACATTTTAAAATGATAAGATGAAGGATTATTCCCACAGAAGAGTTGAAGAATATGATCAACTGGACAAAAGCCTGGGTACATTATGCAGGGTGGAGGGGGGTACTGATCAGATGGCATCAAGTGATTTGAGTGGATAAATCTACTCATGGTGGTTAATTTTTAAATATTCATTATATAAAGTGAGTCACTAAAAAGTTACATTAAAAAATTCTGAATATGTTAATTTAGAGTTTACTATATTATTACTTGACTTATAGATCAATTTATTGTGATAATCAGATTGAGGGACAGAAAAAAGAAACAAAAATAATCTTTTGTCCATATGCCACAAACTGAGAGTAACTTACCCATAACACAATTTCAGTATAATTGAAAAATCTACATTCTTTGACCTAAAGCTCTTTCTAATAAGTTTTGAACTCTAACACTTTGGCACCTTTCTTTAGATGATTCTTAAGTGTCTGACCAATAAATATAAATTTAAAATATATATAAAAATAAACATCATCCCACTATTCCCCACTTTACAAAGGTAAAAAAAAGAGGAGGTGATAAAAAACGAAGTTGAATGTGACACCTCCTAATCTCTACATCATAGCCTAAAAAAAAACCAGAGACATAAAATAAAATGAATATGTACTTACAGCCTGGGCTTGTTGTTGGAATAGTTCATTTTGATTCTCTCTATCTTCTATTCCATCCTCAAGCTTCCGGGAAGGAAGTAACCTAGCACTTCCAATAGCAGCATTCAAATGGTTTGGAAAAATACTCGTTCTTTTAAGAGTTAAGTTTGCTGGATCTGAAGAGTGCATGGCTATAGAGCCTGCTTTTTCTGCCTACACAAAGGAAGAAAGAGTGAGCTTCCCCCAGTCAAGTGCAATCAAATAATGTCTACCAGCAGCCCAAAAGCTTTAAAACCGGGGTTGGGGGGAAGGAGGGGAAAACTTTAGCTGGCAAAGAAACTAACATTTACCAGGCACCTACTACATGCTAATATTTTACATTATCTAATTCTCAAAACAACACTGGGAAACAAGTATCATATCCCCATTTCACACATAAAGAAACTATAGTCAAGAGAATTTAAGTAATTAGCCCAAGGTCACAAAGCTAGTAGGCAGCAAAGCCAGAATTCAAACCCCAACCCCAAACTCTGACATTGTTTATAACTATTTGGTGAAAGCAAAAGAGGGAATCAGAACAACACAGGAAACAGAAACAACAGTTTCTCTATATACAATCTACTGCCCTCACTAGTAAATCACATTATGCGAAGCCTGGAATCAAAAGAAAGTGATTCTGTCATTGCCTAATAGCATTTCTCATAACAAACACACTTCCCATTCAATCTTTACTCAGGCTTACTTTTGAACTTACGGCTTCATAAGACCTCTGAAGTTGTTGCTTTTTTCTCAGCCTAATTTGCTGATTTACTCGGCGTTTGACTTGTCTCTGAAAACGCTTCAGAGCTTCTTGTTTCTTTCTTAGCTGTTCCCTTAGCTCTTCTTCAATCATATATGCTGAAGTCTTTAAAGATGAAAGATAGAAAATAAACTTACATGTCCCATTCGTTTTGCCCATTAGGACTCTGTTGTAAACACAAAGCAGTCAGAATACAGCCCTGAAAAAATAATTCAGTTCTACAACCCCAAATTCCCCGTACAGTAAAGAAATCACAGGAGTTCAGAGCTGACAATCTAGACGTAGCTAGTGAGTACCAAGAACTTAAACCAAATCACAAACTAAAAACTGGAATCTGTGAGCACTCAAATCAAATCTTAATTTTTCATTGTACTGAGAACTAAAAGTATCTTCATTAATTCTTAATGAACCAATTCAAACCTATATTATGTTACATTTTCTAAAATGAGTAAAATAGTCCAGATACACCAGGTTGCTCACCACTCACCCACTATGTCCTATTATAAAATGAGAATCAGGCTTCATTTTTAACCTAGCATGCCCTTCTTGCCGCCTCCATCTAGAAAAGGCCCTACTCAGTCAAGACCATCCAATACCCATCTAGCACCTCTCACTCTTATTAACGTTGAGTACAGTACTTCTTAACTCCCCCACTAGATTACGAATTCTTTGAGGGCAGGAAATGTATTTAATTCTCCTTTCTTTCCCCTATGGTATACTACACAGAGCCTTGAATACAAAGGTACTCAATGTTTATATAATGCTTAATTCCAAAACATTTTAAACAATCTGGAACATTTTATCACATTTGAGTCCTTAATCATTGTTTGCCTCCTCTAAGTGCTTTGAATAACAAAGTCATTATAATAACAGCAGTTACCATTATTAAAGATCTATTATGAGATAAACACTTTAACTACCTTGTATCAATGAATCCTCAAAACTACCTCCAATATTAGGTATTCTTACCTCTTATGTTAAAAATGAGGAAATGGGGCTCAGAAGGATTAATCTTTAGTAGTAGCCCAAGATCCTATAGCTGGCAAGTAGCAGAGCTAGAAGTCTCTCTGACTCCAACACTTATGCCCTGTACTGTACTGCTTTTCTCTTGACTATGTCTCTCTTCCATAAGGAATCTTCATATTAAATAAAATCATCATACCTCCTATCTATCCCTTCTCCTAATGCAGTGATTCCAAATTCTAATTCTGAGGGGTGCCCCAAATTATTTCACAGACAGTCATTAAATTCTCAAAATCAAATGAATTTAGTTCCAATTAAAATTAAAATTTCCAAGAAATCTATCCCATAAACTATTCTACAAAAGTATGTACCATAGGAGTAGAATGTACAAGACAGATATCAATGAATAATTAAGTAAAATAATTCCAAAGTAGATATATATGTAGTAAAGCCTGAACAAGTGACTCAAGTTAAGTCAAGACCCTGACAAATTTAAGCCATTCTGCCTTTCTTTTACTCCCATTGTCTCTGTCTGCCCTCTTTTACTCACACCTTGAGATTATCAAACGTCTTATTGAAGTGCATGACTGGTTCCAAATTGTGGATCTCAAGAGTAAACCAAAGATAAGATTGTACCATAGAAACATATTTTAGAAACGTATTTTTCTTAGCAACACTATTGTGTAAGACAACCAGAACCTGAAAACACTTGTTCCATGGGACGTTAAGAGGTTCCCAGAATCATATAAACTTGAGAAATACTGGGTTAAACAAAAATAAATAGTCGGCCCTCTGTATCCACAGGTTCCTCATCCTCAGATTCAACCAATCATGGATGAAAAGAAAATTTTCCAGAAAGTTCCAAAAAAGCAAAACTTAAATATGCCAAGCACAGGCAACTATTTACATAGCATCTACATTGTATTAGGTATTTTAAGTAATCTAGAGGTGATTTAAAATATACAGGAGGATGTACACAGGTTATATGCAAATACTATGCTATTTTATACAACTGCTTGAACATCTGTGAATTTTGGTATCTGCAGGTGGGGGAGGTGGGGGAAGAGTGGGGTCCTGGAACCAATCCCCTCCAGATACTGAGGGACAACTGTACTGTTTCAATTGTACAACCAATTCTTCATAGCCTTTTTGCACCCTATAGACTATCCAAGGGGCAATATAGAATGAAGTGTTTCTCAGGACAGTCAAAGAATACATTCAGATAATTTATATATGGTGGAACTAATAGTTAGATTACATAGTCCTTAGTCTCCAAAGATGAACTCCCCTTCTGCCCCCAATGAATCAAGCCTCCCAGTATATATGCTCTTGTGTAGTCATCTCCCATACTGAATGTAGTCTGACTGTATACTCAATAGACTGAGGCACAAGTGTTGGCTCCATGACTTCCCAGGCAAGCTCATAAAGCAACCTCCACCTAGGGAAGCCCATACTAGCCAAGCAGAGAGACCATGTAGAAAGAGGAAGATGTCCTGCCAGCCCTCAGCCATTCTACTCATCCTAGCCCAAGTGCCAGATATAAGAGTTAAGAAAGCCATGTAGGATATTACAGCCCAGCAGATGCCAGATAAAGAAGAACCAAGAAATCCAGCCCCCAGCCAGGATCCAGTCAAGTTGTCCGAGACATCATCAGCTACTGGGGTCACCCCAACTGAGGGCTCAGACACTGTGGAGCAGACAAGCCATCCCCACTGTGTCCTGCACAAATTCCGGACACACAATATTGTTTGCTTTATGCCATTAAGTTTTAGAGTGGTTTCTTATGCAACAGTAGATAATCAGATAAATTATAAAACAATGCAATAGCTATATATGCTGATAGGAAAGCAGTACCCTTGGATGATAATTTAATTAAGGGGCAGTCTCAAACTATGGCGTTTATAGGAATTCTGATGGCTCCTTGAAACTTAAGGACAAAAATGATTAGGCATTTCCCTTTAGCATAGACATGATCTTAGGGTAACCAAGCTTTAGAAGTTCTGAGCTGACAAGACCTACGTCTGTTAATAAGAGTGAATTCCCCAGGCTGTATATGCTAAAGTGATAAAGAGTTCTATTAGATGCTTGATCAAATTGCCTTTGACTGGTAATGATCAGAATTTTTTAAATGAAGGAAAGGAGACATGTTTACACATGCTCCAAGACTTTAATATATTTTGAGTTGATATGTGGGAACGTGTGATGATTCTTTTTAACACAGAAAATCTTGGTCGTTTTTAGACATTTTTATGCTATTGATATTATACAGATATCATAATATGGGCAATTAAAAACAGGTGTCAATAATTTAAATACCAAAATACCTTTGTACCAAATCTTACTGATTCTTCTGGGATGTTTCTTACATTTATCCCTTTTCATTTCCATTTCAATCCCCTTTTCAAGGCTTTCCCTCTACATTACTTACCACTAAAATCTTGGTGCCATACTTCACGCCTAAATTGTTACCATTACATCCCAATTTGTCCCTCAGGAGCCAATCGCTCCTTCACCTTTAAAACTGTTAAAGCAGGACTTCCCTGGTTGCTCAGTGCTTAAGAACCCGCCTGCAAATGCAGGGAACACGGGTTCGAGCCCTGGTCGGGGAAGATCCCACATGCCACGGGGCAATTAAGGCCGTGCGCTACAACTACTGAGCCTGCGCTCTAGAGCCTGCAAGCCACAACTACTGAGCCCACGTGCCACAACTACTGAAGCCCGTGTGCCTAGAGCCTGCGCTCCACAACAAGAAAAGCCACCGCAACGAGAAGCCTGCTTGCCACAACTAGAGAAAGCCACACGCAGCAACGAAGACCCAACACAGCCAAAAATAATAAGTAAAATAAATAAATAAATAGTTTTAAAAAATAGAACTTAAAAAAAGTTAAAGCAGTTAATCTAATCAAAACACTATTTGATCATGAAATTAATCTGTAAATATTAAACAATGAATGAAGTCAATCCCGTCTCCAAAATTTCCTGTGGTTCCCTACCACTCCTATTTTCCACAATCCTATCAATCACCATGCCCCTACTAGGCCTTCCACTGCAATCAATCTAACCTACCCCTAAATCCTAAATATACCTTGCTTACTTCCTACTCTCTCCATTCTCCTTAATTGGAGAATCATCCTCTTTCTTTCTGATTATCCAAATTCTTCATTAAACTTTCCTGGGTCACATCAATTCAAAACCATATCTTTCTTCGTTAAGTGCTATAATAGTCTTAGCATTTAATCATATACTACTCAGACTCAAAATCCTTTTTGGAAATAGCATAGTAATAAATGAATGCTTATGTATATACATCCTTACAGACATAAATCAAATGAATGAAAACATGCCATTGCACTTCTATTTAACATTTACTTGAAACATGTCTCATTTCTTCTCTGAGATGAAGGACCACTAAGAGAACCTACCTCATACTTTTCAACTCATGTTCAGCACCACGTCTATACATTCTGAAGATCTTCAAGCATTTTGTGCATTCCATAAATATCTACATGCTCCATCAGGAAAAGGAGATATGTAAACAACTTACTATAAATATAATGTGGTATTTATAATAATAAATGAACCACAATAATATATGAACAAATAGCTAAGGAGCACAGTTTGGTGAAAGACAATCAAAAATCTTACCAAAAAGGAAAAAAAAAATCTTACAAAATTGTCCTCCTGTGTTAATAGCTACGTAAGAGAGTTGTCTGACAGGCACACATGTCAATTTGCAAAAGTTTCCCTTCATCTGAAATGCTCTTCCCTTTCATCTGTACTTACAGCACTTCCATTCTTTAAGGATTAACACAAACTATATTACCTAATTCACTCATTCAACAACTATATCCTGAAGACTTGCCATATACCAGTACAGGAATGAAAAAAACATCAAGATCCCTGTCCTCATGGAATTTACAGTTAAACTTTCTCGGAATCCCAATCAGAATTAATCTCTTTCTCCTTTATTCTCCCACTGCATCTGAACCTTACTGAATCTCCATTACAAAATTTACCATAAACTTTAAACAATCAATGTTACATTAACTGTGGTCGTCATCCCTACTACATTGTAGAGTGTTTGGAAGACAGTGCCTATGTCTTGTGCATAGAAAGCAATCAAGGGTTTGCAAAGCAAACTGAAATATATATAGGTAATAAATATTTGATTATGCCGACTAAAGCTGCAGCAAGTTTCGGCAGATACATATTTGTTCTATAATCCTAATGCAAGAACATATCTATTTATGACAGTATAGAAACGGCATCCCCAGACTGTTCATCTTATCTGAGCACCAGGGATTTGAGAAGGCTAATAAAAAGAAAGATGGAGGAAGAACCCCACCATACTTGCATCAAACTGACACTCACAGATGCCGGGACTGCTGAACTATCTGGCGGGGCAGGCTCCACCCATGCCCCAACGGGTACTATAGCCTGGTTCCTCTCAGCCAGCACTGCCAACACGTCCTTGCTCTTCAGGGGGTTTAAAGCCAGGGGCAACTTGGTGGTATTCCGAAGCTTCTTGAGGGGGGCCATACTTCCTGGCATCTATGACTCCTGGTTAGGAGAGAGGAAAAGCTTAAAATCTTCAAACGACCGCCTTAAAAGCTCAACCCCCTAACACGTATGCCACAGGCTCCTGAAAAGGAGAGAAGTTTTGGAGGAGGCAGTAGCCTGACAAGGATACTTGAGAAGGAAGGAAAAGGAAAAAAGGGGAAAAGAAGGGGTAAGAAATAAAGGAAGGAAATGTTTAAAGATCGCTCTCGGAAAGGAACAGGGACGAGAAGGGGGAGAAACAAGAATCTGAATGAGAGAACGAAGATTGTGCCAGTGGCGGCAAAGCGATACGGCAAAGGG